GAAACAATTAAAGTTTGACATTGAGTGGACACCGTAGGCCTAGATGTTTTGACAGCAATTTCAATCCTGAGATATATGCTAGATATAGAAACAACACAAAGGCGTGGATGACAGCAGAACTGTTTCGTGATTGGCTGCTGTCTTTTGATTGACAGATGAGGTCACGTGGAAGGCGGGTCATTTTGCTTGTGACAATGCAGCTAGTCACAACTGTAAAAATCTGAAACTGACCAGCGTGACTGTCCATTTCCTGCCACCCAACACAACCGCACACATTCAGCCAATGGATGCAGGGATCATACAGACATTTTTAGCTGTTTTGTTTTTACGTGTAGCCGACCGCCTAGGTCCTGATTCAGATATCCAAATGATTCGTTTGTCCAAACAATTCAATAAAAAACCAAAGTGTTCGGATAAACAAGGTCTGACTGTACATATATGAAAGTAGTGTACAGTGTTCCAGACGTTTGTCTGTGGATGTGATTTTTATGCAAAGACTGGTAGAAACATCATTACAAACAAATCCATAATATATACTTTTCATTTTCAGTTTTGTGAAAAACATACGCAATTGAAAAATGTCAACTTGTGAACACTAAGAATAATATTTCTATTTGTCATGAGAAACATGTAACATTTTACTTCATGCTTGAAAAGGGGCGGTGGGGTAGTCTAGTGGTTAAAGCGTTGACTCGTCACGCCGAAGACCCGGGTTCGAATCCCCACATGGGTACAATAAGTGAAGCCCATTTCTAGTCTCCCCCGCCGTGATATTGCTGGAATATTGCTAAAAGCGGCGTAAAACCAAACTCAGTCAGTCAGTCAGTCATGCTTGAAAAACAAATCTATCATACACCTAACAGTTACATTTTAACATTTTTACAATATTTCATGTCTGTACATACTTCATGTCAAAATTCTGAATTTGTAGCATATATAGGTGTTTCGGAATATATATCCTCAGCACCAGACAGCTGCCTTTTAATTACAACACTTTGCATACCATTGTAAGAGAAGAAAACATGGAAATCAACAGACGCACTGCTCAGAGGTACTGACGAAATGTGGTACACAATCTATACAACAATCATGTACCATTAAATTCTACCTGTGTATCCGCATAACATGTGCAGTTACTACAAAAAGATTGATTTATTTTTGTTTCACGCCGTACAAAGCAATATTCCAGCTACATGGCGTCAGTCTGTAAACAATCGAGTCTGGACCAGACAATCCAGTGATCAACAACATGAACATCAATCTATGCAATTGGGACACGATGATATGTGTCCACCAAGTCAGCAAGCCTGACCACCCGATCCTGTTAGTCGCCTCTTACGACAAACATGGGTTACTAAAGACCAATTCTAACCCGGACCTTCACGGGTTGGTTACAACAAGAAGACAAAGTCATCAATATCCCCCGCAATGGCAAAATACTTTCATGATTATGTCTACGAGTTATGATTATGTCAAATATTTAGGTGTGTATATAGAAAAGTGGAAGGAGGTTGAAAGTTGCTCCAGAAAGGAACAAGAAGACAACATTTTATTCATCATAAAAATATACACCACCAGATCTATCCGTGCCAATGGCAAGTGAAATAGAGTTCTTTCATGATTATGTCCATTTCTACGAAGTTATGATTATGTCAAAGATTATAGGTGTTTATTTGAGAATGAAAGTGGAAATTTGAGTATTGACAGGTTTTTAGGAAGTTCTGCTCAAATTTAGAATCTTGTAGAAAGGAGCACTATCACTAGACAAGGGTTTGGGGTTCAAGTCACAGAGCAGATATGTGACCATCTCTGCAGCAGCTAATTCTTTTACATTCAAGTAATTAATGGAAACAGCCACAGTGCATCAACATAGTGTATTCACATATACATACACCACCAACTCCACTGCACCCAGAACTAGGGCTGGCTAAAAAGTTTGATAATCAAAAATATCTTTGATAGATAATATTAAAATTGTGTCCTCGATAACATCCTACATGACCTGCTGAAAGAATAAAGAGAGTCATCAGAAGATGACATATCCCCGGCCCCCACATCTTTGAAAAAAACAACAAATCATCTGACTTTTGAGATGAAGTCCAATCATTTTAGACTAAGTGCAAATCGTTTCCATGGAAATCATGAAAATAATAAATCACAAAATCTGCCAATAACAAAAGGCACCACTTTGGGATCTGCCTAGCAAAAGGCACCACATATCTGCCAAGTTTTGCTGAAAGATATTAAGAAGTTTTCAAGCAGTTCGAAACGTTGTGCTCGGAAACAAAACCTACCCCTCACTTTTGAGACTAAGTCCGAATCATTTCCATGGAAACCGAGAAAATAATAAATCACAAATATCTGCAAATAGCAAAAGGCACCACTTTGGGATCTGCCTCACATATCTGCCAAGTTTTGCTGAAAGATATAGAGAAGTTTTTGAGTTGTGCTCCAGAAACGAAGCCCACCCCTCACTTTTGGGATTAAGTCCTAATCGCTTCCATGGCCAGGGAAAATAAAATGCCAACAATCTGCAAATAGCAAAGGCAGGAATCTGTTTGATATATCTACCAAATGCTAAAAAATCACGGTTGTGAGTTAAAAGCAACTTTTGAGACCATCTTGGAAACCGAGAAAATAATAAATCACAAATATCTGCGAGAAAATAATAAATCACAAATAGCAAAAAAGGCACCACTTTGGGATCTGCCTCACATATCTGCCAAGTTTTGCTGAAAGATATTAAGAAGTTTTCGCGTTGTGCTCCGGAAACAAAACCTACCCCTCCCTTTTGAGACTAAGTCTGAATCATTTCCATGGAAACCGAGAAAATAATAAATCACAAATATCTGCAAATAGCAAAAGGCACCACTTTGGGATCTGCCTCACATATCTGCCAAGTTTTGCTGATAGATATAGAGAAGTTTTTGAGTTGTGCTCCGGAAACGAAGCCCACCCCTCACTTTTGGGATTAAGTCCGAATCGTTTCCATGGCAACAGGGAAAAATAAAAATGCCAACAATCTGCAAATAGCAAAAGGCACAACTTTAGGATCTGTTTGATATATCTACCAAGTTTTGTTGAAAAATATTATACGGTTTTTGAGTTATGCTCCGGAAACGAAGCCCACCCCTCACTTTTGGGACTAAGTCCGAATCATTTCCATGGAAACCGAGAAAATAATAAATCACAAATATCTGCAAATAGCAAAAGGCACCACTTTGGGATCTGCCTCACATATCTGCCAAGTTTTGCTGATAGATATAGAGAAGTTTTTGAGTTGTGCTCCGGAAACAAAGCCCACCCCTCACTTTTGGGACTAAGTCCGAATCGTTTCCATGGAAACCGGGAAAAATAAAAATGCCAACAATCTGCAAATAGCAAAAGGCACCACTTAAGGTTCTGTTTGATATATCTACCAAGTCTTGTTGAAAAATATTGAACGGTTCTTGAGTTATGCTCCGGAAACGAAACCCACCCCTTCCTTTTGAGACTAAGTCTGAATCATTTCCATGGAAACCGAGAAAATAATAAATCACAAATATCTGCAAATAGCAAAAGGCACCACTTTAGGATCTGTTTGATATATCTACCAAGTTTTGTTGAAAAATATTGAACGGTTCTTGAGTTATGCTCCGGAAACGAAGCCCACCCCTCACTTTTGGGACTTAGTCCAAATTGTTTCCATGGAAACTGAGAAAATAATAAATCACAAATATCTGCAAATAGCTAAAGGCACCACTTTGGCATCTGCCTCACATATCTGCCAAGTTTTGCTGAAAGATATTAAGAAGTTTTCGCATTGTGCTCCGGAAACGAAACCCATCCCTTCCTTTTTGAGACTAAGTCCGAATCATTTCCATGGAAACCGAGAAAATAATAAATCACAAATATCTACAAATAGCAAAAGGCACCACTTTGGGATCTGCCTCACATATCTGCCAAGTTTTGCTGAAAGATATTAAAAAGTTTTCGCGTTGTGCTCCTGAAACGAAACCCATCCCTTCCTTTTTGAGACTCAGTCCGAATCATTTTCATGGAAACCGAGAAAATAATAAATCACAAATATCTGCAAATAGCAAAAGGCACCACTTTGGGATCTGCCTCACATATCTGCCAAGTTTTGCTGAAAGATATTAAGTAGTTTTCGCGTTGTGCTCCGGAAACAAAACCTACCCCTCCCTTTTGAGACTAAGTCCGAATCATTTCCATGGAAACCGAGAAAATAATAAATCACAAATATCTGCAAATAGCAAAGGGCATCACTTTGGGATCTGCCTCACATATCTGCCAAGTTTTGCTGATAGATATAGAGAAGTTTTTGAGTTGTGCTCCAGAAACGAAGCCCACCCCTCACTTTTGGGACTAAGTCCGAATCGTTTCCATGGAAACCAAGAAAAATAAAAATGCCGAAAATCTGTAAATAGCAAAAGGCACCACTTTAGGATCTGTTTGATATATCTACCAAGGTTTGTTGAAAAATACTGAACGGTTCTTGAGTTATGCTCCGGAAACGAAGCCCACCCTTATTTAAGACTAAGTCCAAAACGTTTCCATGGAAACCAAGAGAAATAAAAATGCCAAAAATCTGTAAATAGCAAAAGGCACCACCTTAGGTTATGTTTGACATATCTACCAATTTTGGTTGAAAAATATTGAACGGTCAACAAAATGATTACGGGCGGACGGGCGGGCGGACGGACAGACGGACGAGGCGACGACTTTATCCCACCGCATTACATGCCGGTGGGATAATAATTAACACAAAATAATACACAAGTTACGTCTTTCTTCATGGATCAATTCTAAATTTTTGCTCAAGGTTACTTCTACGATATTTATTGATAATAGATTGACATTTAGTTTACGATTATCAGTCTCTATGATCTTTCGGAATAGCCAACTCTAGACAGAATGTCTACTGACCCCACAGGAAGAGACACTCACAACAATTTCTGTCAGTTTGTTGCTCACCAAACAAGGCCATAGAAATATCTTACCTTTCTTTCTTTACTTTTTTATTTGGAGTTTCTTCTTTTTTAACTTCAGATTTGGACTCTTCTTTTTCTTCCACTTTTACAGGCTTTCTTGGAGCTGTGAATATGAAGGCATCAATTTACATGTTATCTTTATGAATTGCGGATATTCTGGGAACACATCTCAGTAAGATCACGTCTTAATCAGTATTTATACATAAAACATAAAACAAATGAACATACTTTAAGTTTCATAAAATCTTTGTAGAAGGTTTTAAGAAGACCAGAGTTACTTCCCTTTTACCCTCGCTGCCCACTTATTCACTCAAAGTCATCAAACAAATAGTGTTCAGGGGAGGTCAAAACTTACCAATCACAATTATAACTATATAACTATAAGTGCTCACCAAAAAAACTGTGAACAGGTTTCTTCTCCTCTTTCTTCTGACTTTTCACATCTTCTTCTTCATCTTTCACTTCTTCTTTAACCTCTTCTTTCTCCTCATCTTCCTTGTCACTACCTTTTCCTTCTTTCTTTCCTTTTTTCGTTACATTCTTCTTACTGTCTGCTTTTGGTGATTTCTTACCCGTCTTCTTCTTGGCAGCTGCTGGAACAATCAACACATTGGGTGTGTATGAGGTTACCTACAGTTGGGACTTCAAGTAGGAATATATATCACCACATACCTGTGCTGGGAATAAGAGGCCATGAAACGTTGGTCAAATACAGTGACAAGGTTGATCGCATGTCATTGTATATGTTGTGTAGATTAATGTTCATGATGTCAATCACCGGATTGTTTGGTCCAGACTTGATATTGACAAGTGGCTATCATATTGCTGGAATATTTTTGATGGCGGTGTCAAACTACAGCCAAACCAGCATAGGGTTCATCCCAATATAATATCTAATTACCAAGGGTGGTTGGTTTGTTGTTTAACACCGCACTCAGCAATATTCCAGCTATATGGCGGCGGTCTGTAAGTAATCAAGTCTGGACCAGACAATCCATTGATCAACATCATGAGCATCAATCTATGCAATTCGGATATGATGATGTGTTAACCAAGTCAGCGAGCCTGACCACCCGATCCCGTTAGTTGCCTTTAACGACAAACATGCTGAAGATCAAGTCTAACCCGGACCTAATTACCAAGGAATGGTGTGGACAACTACAGGAGTGCTACTGGTAATAGGGCAGACACACAGCCAGGAAAGGAGTAGACTTTCCCTACCTGGAGATTTCCCTTTCTTTCCCTTGCTTTCCTTCTTTCCCTTGGAGTCTTTCTTCTTTTCTGGGCTGTCTTCCTGTTCCTCTGACATGCTAATGTCTTTTTCCTTGTCATCTTTCTCCTCGTCTTTCCCCGTGTCGTCTTTCTCCTTGTCATCTTTCTCCTCGTCTTTCTCCTTGTCATCTTTCTCCTCGTCTTTCTCCTTGTCATCTTTTTCCTCGTCTTTCTCCTTGTCATCTTTCTCCTCGTCTTTCAGCTCATCCTTTGCTTCAGTTTCTGCGTCTTTGTCTTTTGATTCCGATTTCTTTTCATCAGACTCGCCATCCTGAAATCACCACCAGCAGACATGTTTTCAATATACTGGTTTTCTTCGGAAGAAATTACTTTTATGAGAATTGTCTTGTAACTGTAGTGAAAAATGATATAAGGCAAATAAAAGCAATTCCGTAACTGGACTAACTAGTACAAGGACCTACATCAACAGGGCACAAGGTTTACAAGTTTAAAGGCTGTGGCATAACCTACTTCCATCTCAATGTCATCCTGCTTTATTTCTTCTACACCTGTTTTAGCCTCTAGTCCCTCATCATCACCATCGGAGATCAGCTTCTTCTTCCTCTTGGCAGGACTGTCCACTTTTGGACTCTGTGAGACACTCTTCCTCTTCACGGCACTTCCTCCACCTATGCTTTTCCTTGCTGAAAAATTAAAGCAGTATCTCGTCAACATTTAAGCCATAAATGTCGAAAGAGTTGATACAATGGGGGCTATATTGTACAAATGATCAGTCATGGACCCCAAGAAGGACCTTAGGATCTGCCCCTGAAGTAGGGTCTTACACAGGCCTTGGTTTGGTTAGAGCACAATTGGGGTGGGGTTGGGTGGTTTATGACGGAGTTTTCAGTTACTGACCTCATCAAGATTAAATATGCATTCAATCAAGCACAGGCAAACTGTAGCGCAAATAGGACTGCGCAACAGAAAGAAAAATTACCAGTCTTTCTATATGTGAGCGAAGCGAACAAAGGTTGGCAACGTACTTCCCTCGCTTCAAGTCGAAAAATATTTTTAATATCAAAATAAAATATCGCCACCATCAAAGGTAGACACACATTTCCTCACAGGGTTGTGCTCTCAGATTTCCAACCTCATATTTAATAATTACTCACGTACAATATATGTAATTCAACATTTCAAGAGCCACTCGTGGCATATCACATCGTTCTTCGCCTCCATTACCCCTGCCGGCTTCCGGTTCAATGGAGTAAAGGAACAAGAATATGCAGAAATTAAAAAGAAATATCATATTGCCTAATTTTACCATTAACCTGTTGGATTGTTTGATGGGCATTCTAGAAATTGGTGACTAAAAAATGAAACATACAACTTTATGGATGACAACTTATTTATTGCATTGAGCAACGTTTCGTTATCAAGCTAAAAGTGAATACAACCAGATGTAGAGGAGTATATATACACAGTATGTTTTGACAACAGCAGATTAACATTAACAACCACATGTAATTGAATAACAACTGGTATATAATTATGAGAGGCCAGTGGGAGACTTAGAACAACAAATGAGACTGGGAACGAAGCAGGGGTAATGGAGGCGAAGAACAATTTGATATGCTACGAGTGGAGCTTAAAATGTTGAATTAAATATATTATATGTAATTAAAAGTAAATATTAAAAATGAGTTGGAAATCTGAGAGCACAACCCTGTGAGGAAATGGGTGTCTACCTTTGATGATGGCGATATTTTATTTTGATATTAAAAATATTTTTCGAACCGAAGCGAGAGAAGTACGTTGCCAACCTTTGCTCGCTTAGGTCACATGCAGGAAGACTGGTCATTTTCTCTTTGTTGCGTAACCCTATTTGCGCTACAATTTGACTGTGAATCATGTAGCCTTTACAGTTAATTTGGGTACAGACTGAATGTGAGCAATAGATAATAATGATAATTAACTGATTAATCTACCATTTGGCCCAATGCTCATTGTCATTATGTTACAGGAACAGGCTCCTGCATTTAAACAGATCCGACCTGATTTCCACATACCTGTTTTCCTTTTAGGAATTCCACATGGAGATTTGACAGGCGTGCTTGGCTCGGAGGGTGACGATTGGGAAGACACACCAGAATCCTTTGCTTCCTGGTGTAAAAGGAAGAAATGAATCAACAGTACAAAGAATTCCATGATGCAGGAATCATTTTTTAAGTAAATTTATTACTTCCATTTCATGCAAATTATGTTTCCATCAAATTCCTTGGGTTGGGCCAATATATAATAAAAATCATATATCATAAAAAGTTTCATTCGAATATTCATGATTGTTGTTATATCAATATCTTATAGACAGAAAGCTGAACTGCTGCACATCTCAAGTATGTGCTTATCACTCTCGAACAAAACGACCCCTTGTTATGACATGCTTGGTGAAACCTGAGTGAGCGAGTTCGTTTTAACGGCACTTTTAGCAATATTCCAGCAATATCATGCCGGGAGACACCAGAAATGGGTTTCACACATTGTACCTATGTGAGGAGTCGAACCCAGGCCTTCAACGTGATGTGCAAACACTTAAACTACTAGGCTACCCCACCGCCCCAGTGTCCACCCTTCAAAGAGCTCTTTTATCAAATCTCCAGGACAATTCTTCCCACATTTGTTGACCAACAAGCCAATACGGTAATTACGTCTGATGGCACCCCAAAAGTGTTGCTCATGCTATTGACTAATTGTTTGCCTGGACTCAAACATTTGCAGCATTATATATGTGTAACTGTTGACACTGTAAGGCGCCATTCACTCATCCCTCCAACAGTGATCACTTCCAAGATTCTACTACATACATCATTACAATAGTACCTGTCTCTGTTTAATCGGCATTCTAGAAGTCGGGGTGGTGGGGTAGCCTAGTGGTTAAAGCGTTGACTCGTCACGCTGAAGACTCGGGTTCGATTCCCCAAATGGGCACACTGTGTTAAGCCCATTTCTGGTGTCCCCCGCCGTGATATTGCTGGAATATTGCTAAAAGCGGCGTAAAACTAAACTCAGTCAGTCAGTCAGTCATTCTAGAAGTCAGTAACGAAGATTATTACGTAAGCATATTTTTCCAACTACCTGATTGGTCTAGAGGCGGTCACGTGACCGTTGACAGAAAAGTATATTGACTCCAACCCAGGTCCGACCAAAAGTCATATTGACTTGAGTTACTAAAAATAGATTTTGACGTCAAGCTATGACGTCATGCTATTGTTTACAGTTAGAACAATCAAAAATAATATAAGTTATCAGACAATAAAGGTATAGTTTTTTGATGACGTAACAATTGAATGACGTTATCCCATCGCTGCGCCATTCTAGTGTGCCCCCTCGTAATCGAACCATTATACATTATGTCACAATGTAAGCGGCGTCACGATGCATGTCAGTTGTCATCGCCTCGTACGGCCTCCTACAGTAAACTACTCCGTTGCATCCCGTTACTTGGTTTGCAGTTGCTTCACGCAGCTAACATCACTGGTGGAAACATTACGTTTATGTTTTACGACGGTTAAAATGTGTCAATTCAACTCACAAGTTTCAGCGACACGGTAACGTTCGCAATGTTTACATTCCCACAATGCAATCGTGGAATGTCGCTTCACTACTCAGCTTCATCTGGATGTACTGATCTAAACTTACGTTGGTAGTAGAAATGTGACGTTCATATTGCCCCATATGGTTTACGTTAATGACAGATGTAATTAAAATAATTCAGAAAAGATTTTTAATCTGAACGTAAACCGTCATCAAACTGTTATCATTTGTTTTTTTCTGGTAACGTTCATCTTAACGTAGGGGGGCATACACATCAATAGAAAGGTGCGCCAGTTAGCCATGTGCGAGGATTCTTAATTTAGGTCACCGACACCTCGTTTGTTTTCTGCCTTAAATTAATCGTAATTATCCTTAGAAAGTATTAAATTTGGCATCTTAGAAAAGAAATACAGTTCGCTCTACCACCATGTATAGTGTAATAAAGCACACTTGCCCTGAACTATTATAGTTAAAGTACGAGGACGCTTATAGTCACAGTATAGTTGACATGACGTTATTGGTTTGTAGCGAAAATAAAATTACTTTTCTTGACTAAATGGACATGTTTTGGTTTTTAGAAGCTTTTTGGGGTAATTACATAATAAAACAATTATGGACTGGTGAATTCGGTCAATACCTGTTTTTATGGACCCACACCGTCCTCAGTCAATATTGCTTTTCGCGGTCCATAAAAACAGGTATTGACCTCATCACCAGTCTATAATTGTATAATATTGTTATACATTGTACTAATGTATTCAGCAAGGGACAGAGGTGTGCTATACTCAGACTTGTACATTTAGACACAGTTCTGGAGGCTTTCACCATGTTCTGACCCAAAGAATACAACAGAATTTTGCAACTTATTTTTGTGCATGTTGGTTGGCTGGTTGGTTTGTTGCTTAACACCGCACTCAGCAATATTCCAGCTATATGGAGGCGGTCTGTAAATAATCGAATCTGGACCAGACAATCCAGTGGTAAACAGCATCAATCTACACAAATGGGATACGATGACCTGTGTCAACCAAGTCAGAGAGTTTGACAAACCAATCCAGTTATGACAAGCATGGGTGGCTGAAGACCAATTCTAACCCAGATCTACACAGGTTTGTGTATGTAAAGGGAAGTAACTCTTGCCTCTCATCTCACATTACATCAAGTTACCAGAAGACCAGCATTTTTATTATACTAACATTTGTATAATACCAATATCAAGCTCAGCTGCTTTTCCCTCGATCATTGGATGTCAAACTCAAACAGCACATCATATTATCAATCTCAACGTCCTGGGGAGAAGCCACTAGGCCCACAGAGTTATTGTGGCTTTCCCATCCTTACAAGGTACTCATTCACAGCTGGGTGGACTGGGACATGTCGTCACAGTCACAGTACTTTGTTGAAGTTTTACTGCACATTGCTGTACCAGCAACTGGGTGTTTGCACATATTCATGTGGCCACCATGTATACATTTACCGACGGATTCGTGGGTTCTGTTAAATGCACAGGGTTATGTACTGTACACTAGGGGTTGTGACAACACTGAAAGAGTCTGCACACAATGTTGACTCAAAGGTTTTTACACCCGGTCACAGGAGGGCTCGATCCTGGCACCTGGCGCCTTAGACATCTCGCCCACCACGCCCACACATTGTGTGATAATCATATACCCTGCTTATGATCACAAGTTAGATTACTATTGCTATAATCACTCCTCTTTGTACTGTACTGTGTCTGACACACATTGTGTGATAATCATATACCCTGCTTATGATCACAAGTTAGATTACTATTGCTATAATCACTCCTCTTGTACTGTGTCTGACACACATTGTGTGATAATCATATACCCTGCTTATGATCACAAGTTATTGCTATAATACTCCTATTGCTATAATGCTTATGATCACAAGTTAGATTACCTCTTGTACTGTGTCTGACACACATTGTGTGATAATCATATACCCTGCTTATGATCACAAGTTAGATTACTATTGCTATAATCACTCCTCTTGTACAATACTGTGTCTGACACACATTGTGTGATAATCATATACCCTGCTTATGATCACAAGTTAGATTACTATTGCTATAATCCTCCTCTACAATACTGTGTCTGACACACATTGTGTGATAATCATATACCCTGCTTATGATCACAAGTTAGATTACTATTGCTATAATCACTCCTCTTGTACTGTGTCTGACACACATTGTGTGATAATCATATACCCTGCTTATGATCACAAGTTAGATTACTATTGCTATAATCACTCCTCTTGTACAATACTGTGTCTGACACACATTGTGTGATAATCATATACCCTGCTTATGATCACAAGTTAGATTACTATTGCTATAATCACTCCTCTTGTACTGTGTCTGACACACATTGTGTGATAATCATATACCCTGCTTATGATCACAAGTTAGATTACTATTGCTATAATCACTCCTCTTGTACAATACTGTGTCTGACACACATTGTGTGATAATCATATACCCTGCTTATGATCACAAGTTAGATTACTATTGCTATAATCACTCCTCTTGTACTGTGTCTGACACACATTGTGTGATAATCATATACCCTGCTTATGATCACAAGTTAGATTACTATTGCTATAATCACTCCTCTTGTACTGTGTCTGACACACATTGTGTGATAATCATATACCCTGCTTATGATCACAAGTTAGATTACTATTGCTATAATCACTCCTCTTGTACAATACTGTGTCTGACACACATTGTGTGATAATCATATACCCTGCTTATGATCACAAGTTAGATTACTATTGCTATAATCACTCCTCTTGTACTGTCTGTGTCTGACACACATTGTGTGATAATCATATACCCTGCTTATGATCACAAGTTAGATTACTATTGCTATAATCACTCCTCTTGTACTGTGTCTGACACACATTGTGTGATAATCATATACCCTGCTTATGATCACAAGTTAGATTACTATTGCTATAATCACTCCTTGTATCATACTGTGTCTGACACACATTGTGTGATAATCATATACCCTGCTTATGATCACAAGTTAGATTACTATTGCTATAATCACTCCTCTTGTACTGTGTCTGACACACATTGTGTGATAATCATATACCCTGCTTATGATCACAAGTTAGATTACTATTGCTATAATCACTCCTCTTGTACTGTGTCTGACACACATTGTGTGATAATCATATACCCTGCTTATGATCACAAGTTAGATTACTATTGCTATAATCACTCCTTGTATCATACTGTGTCTGACACACATTGTGTGATAATCATATACCCTGCTTATGATCACAAGTTAGATTACTATTGCTATAATCACTCCTCTTGTACTGTGTCTGACACACATTGTGTGATAATCATATACCCTGCTTATGATCACAAGTTAGATTACTATTGCTATAATCACTCCTCTTGTACTGTGTCTGACACACATTGTGTGATAATCATATACCCTGCTTATGATCACAAGTTAGATTACTATTGCTATAATCACTCCTCTTGTACTGTGTCTGACACACATTGTGTGATAATCATATACCCTGCT